GTCTGAACTAAATTGTGTATCTTTGGGGTTTATTGAAGCAGAGGAACCCAAGTATTTGGCTATTTTCACCTTATTGATATGACACATATTGTGAGTCAATAAAAGTGGTATTTTGTTTTCCTTTGTTGATGTGACGTTGATTTTCATCTTTATATTTTCTCTTGTTTGTATTTCATGTTATATATACATATTGCATGATCATGTTATTATGAAAATATGAAGACTTAGATCAGATCAAATGCTTTCAGTGATGAAATGCTAATTGCTTAGTTTTTACATTAAAAAAACAGATACAAAGAACATAGGCATATTCAATTGGTAGAGTATATAGTAAAGAATGGGACATCACATTCCTATATTTCAGTTTTGTTGCAGTGTCTATTTGATTTTATGTAACTACAACTGTTAAACAGATTACGAATTGATTATCTTTGCTGCTTAACAACATGATAAATGAGTGTATTCTCTTAATCACTTGCCAATGATAAACCACGTGTAATCAAAATATCACCCTGTATCGTAAATTCAATCGAAACATATTGATGAAAAGTCACAAGACTGCAGGAATCAACTACACGAACAGGAAACCGTCATATTTACCCGAAAAGGGAAGCCAAGAATCCTGCAGACGACTTTTCCTTTTTCTCAGCATCCATCAGTAGTTGCTGTGCTTTCTCCTCGCTAAAAGCCATATTTGTTTCTAGTTCCTGCGCAAAGTTAATGAGAAGGATTCGTCTTTTTATCGAGTGAACATTTGACACAACCTACCACCTTATTTACTTCACATGAGTGTCTGGGTCACTCGTACACTTTGATTGGACGAGTCACATTTAATTTATGATTGAAGCACTTCAATAACCAAGATTAGGACCGTCACTTCCGGTTGTGTGGCATGACAGAAAGTTATTTTTGGCAACCAACTCAAAATCAGGGCATGTTTGACCAACATTCATAGTTATATAATATCTTCATTGAAAAAAAATCATTTAACCCACGAGAATAATTGACTTTACAGTAAGGGGCCAAATTTTTAAAAGTGCATCTTCATAGAGAAACCATTAAGTATTTTAAAATGATAAATTCGAAGAACAATTTTGACTGGAAAGCCTGCCATCATCCCTGTATAAAAATAAATATTAAGGAAGTTCTATTTCCTATAAATTAGTAACGTACAAGGTTTCAAAGAAGCTGTTAGAGTTTTAAAGCTAATTCAGTCATTTCAACCTGCAGACAAGTACTTCAATACATATTTCAAAATAATTAGATTAAATTATTTTTGTTGAATTAAAAAAAAAAACAGAAAAAGAAAACCAATGTAACCTTTTCTTAAAGAAATGAAAAATAAATTTCAAATACTACAATGCAGTTACAGTAAAATTATTAATTTGTGTCAGGATTTATTTTTGTGTTTTAGCGGTAATCTAAATTCACAATGTTATATGTCAAGGTAATGATAAACAGATAAAATTTGACACGGACTTCGGTCCAATTGAGTTTTGTAAGCACGATTTGTCAACAAATCAAGTTCCAACAAAAGCATATTTGCAGAAAACCACAAAATTAGAGCCCCTGGAAGATATATGATTTGACAGTATGTAACAGTGGTAAAATAAAATACTTGCTGCAATATATTGCTTAGCTAGGGAGAACTTCTTAGCTTGTTCTACTGAGTGTAAGACTAGTAAATCAGAGTTCCTGTGTTCAAATCTTGGTAGAAACAGTGAAATGAATAAAGACCTATGTTACATTGGCCTCCATATAGGTACCCAGAAATAAATACATTGTTGTAACCCCTGGTAACTCGACAAGTTAATTCTTGGAGAGAAAGTATGTAACCCTGGTAAAATATCAACTGCAATATATCGCTGAGCTAGTGAAAACTTGATCGGCAGAGCGTAAGACTAGTAAACTAGATGTCCTGGGTTTAAATCAGATTCAAGCAGAGGCATTGAAAGAAATGGTGACCTTTGTTACAATTATTTGTGGTGGAATCAGCGAATGTTTTGGCTAAAACCAAATTTGTATATTTTATATAATTTTATATAGATATATACATATCTGCAATGTAATATTGAAAATATTTTGTGTGTTTTATATACATAACAGGTCTTATTTCACCATATTATTTTGGCTTGTTTTGTCAATAAAACTGTTCTAGATATCTTATCACAGCTCATGTTAAGAGGTTATGGTAGCTTTGGGAAAGCTTATCACCCAAGCTGGTGGCATTCGCAGATTTCCCAACGGCAACATTACTGCCACCATGAATGTCCACACAGGGGACGTGGAGGAGGGAGTGTGTGTTAATTTTATCATCCAATTATCATGGAAATAGCCAGTTTACTTTTTATTTTAACAGTGCTGTATAGAGGGGTGGAACATGTGGACTGCCATAAGTATGACAGATACACCACAAGTGTACTGTGTTCTACACAATGTGGAGCACTGTGTATGGAAAATGAGGTAAGTGCTATTTATATATACATGTACTTTCTGGTTTCTATTCAAAAATAGATCATTAAGAAATATTGACAGACATGTTCTTTAAATCATTTTTTACTGCAGAATAAAATTTTAACATAAATGAAGTGTGAAAAAAGTGAATTAGTTTTTTATATGAGTTTTTATCTCTTTTTTCATTTATAGGTAAATTCACTCACAATATATAGCTATGAAATCATGTACTTTGATTATGTTTCTAAAGACATATTTTGTATTTATGAATTGACCACATCACTCATGATTGTCATCATTTTGCAAGTCATTTTCTTCTGTTTAACATTATTCAATGACTTTGTAAAATAGCTATTGGCAAATTATGGAAAAATGAAACCAACAGACAAACCTATTCTACATTAAGGTCACCTTGTTAGGACACAAGTATAGGGATTGGCTGTTGTACACAACATGTTAGGTCACACTTTTCTCCTTTATTCAATAGATAGTCTGGTTTGTCTTATCCAGCTTGTCCATTTGTTCCAGTGGAATGATAAGACCAGTTCAGATCAATTACACCACCTGTATGTTCCCATCCCATTATTATGATAAATATATCCTTCCACACTCCAGACGTCATACCAAAGCTAATGATAACATCTCCATTCATACGATCTTAGAAATCTAACTTTTATAACAAAATAATACAGAGAACAGCTTTGTTTGGAGTTACTTCCTCTTTGTGATATTTGTTACTGATTTTTTATTTGATCATACTTACATTGTAAAAACCTTTGTGAACTTGATCAATGCTTGTGTTATTTTTTGCAATTGCATGTTAATTGTTTTGTGTATTACAGCAATTTTTAAAGTTGTCTTACTTTTTCATGTGGTAGCAGGGATAACTTGTGGTATATGCAAGTTTTACAAACAGTATATCGTAGAACTGCTCCATTGCAATGCTTTTCAGATTTGTGTAATTTAAAATTTCAAATAATAGTATCACCTGACCAGATATTATTTTGAACTGTAGGTGTGATTACTTGTAGAATTATTCTCTTATTTCTATTCTTATAATGATGTTTTGTACAAAGAAATACCTGCTGTAACTAACATGCTTTTACAAATGTACTACACATATATATAGCCACTCACCTCCTGACTTTCAAAACTTTTGAAACTAAAATATACTGAATATCACTGTATTTTGTTTGTATAATTACAAATAGATTTCCCTATTGTGGCTGATTTGTGAAAAGTACATGCACAATTTTTCTGATGAAACTTCATTATGTAATTACATGTAGAATGGTCCTGATGAAACTTCATTGTGTAATTACATGTAGAATACCCTACTGAAACTTCATTATGTGATTACATGTAGAATTGTTCTAATGAAACTTCATTATGTAATTACATGTAGAATGGTCCTGATGAAACTTCATTATGTGATTACATGTAGAATTGTTCTAATGAAACTTCATTATGTAATTACATGTAGAATGGTCCTGATGAAACTTCATTATGTAGTTACATGTAGAATTGTTCTAATGAAACTTCATTATGTAATTACATGTAGAATTGTCCTACTGAAACTTCATTATGTAATTACATGTAGAATTGTCCTGATGAAACTTCATTATGTAATTACATGTAGAATACCCTACTGAAACTTCATTATGTGATTACATGTAGAATACCCTACTGAAACTTCATTATGTGATTACATGTAGAATTGTTCTAATGAAACTTCATTATGTAATTATATGTAGAATGGTCCTGATGAAACTTCATTATGTAATTACATGTAGAATGGTCCTGATGAAATTTCATTATGTAATTACATGTAGAATTGTTCTAATGAAACTTCATTATGTAATTACATGTAGAATGGTCCTGATGAAACTTCATTATGTAATTACATGTAGAATTGTTCTAATGAAACTTCATTATGTAATTACATGTAGAATTGTTCTAATGAAACTTCATTATGTAATTACATGTAGAATTGTCCTACTGAAACTTCATTATGTAATTACATGTAAAATTGTCCTGATGAAACTTCATTTTGTAATTACATGTAGAAATACCCTACTGAAACTTCATTGTGTAATTACATTTAGAATTGTCCCGATGAAACTTCAATATGTAATTACATGTAGAATTGTCCTACTGAAACTTAATTATGTAATTACATTTAGAATTGTCCTGATGAACCTTCATTATGTAATTACATGTAGAATTGCCCTACTGAAACTTCATTATGTAATTACATGTAGAGTTTATTGCACTGCTGTTGTTTGCTGAACTACTTCATATTTGTATAATAACATTTTAAAAAAATTACACCCCTGCTGCCTATTTGTATAATCACTGTCTCAATTTTCATTCGTAAAGTCACATGTAGAATAACATTGTCCTACTTTCTCTTTGAATAATTACATGTATAATGATAGTCTCCTACTTCTTATTTGTATAATTACATGTAGAATTACTCTCATGTTGCCTAGTTCTATAATTACATGTATAATTACACTCTCCTACATCCTACTTGTATAATTACATATATAATTCCCTTGTTATTTTATTTATTGTTCTGTTTCAGTCTTATTGTGATACAACTTGCCATAACCAGTTTGGGTTATGGATGACAATGTGTGATGTAAGTATGATTTGAGAATTATATGTTCTCTTTCCAAGTGCAAGTTATGAATTTTGGCTCATAACCCTGGTAACTGAATCCATGCAAGACTGCGTTTGAATTCGGGAGATCAACATTTCCACCTACAACATGATGTTTGAGATGATGAAATATTAAATTCTTAGATCTGTTGTAACACATAACTTGGAAAAGAAAAATACAGTAGTGTATATATATTGTATTATATGTTGTATATAGTAAGAAAGTTTCCAGTAGGTCAATTTTGTTTACTGCCTGGCATTCTGATGATGGTGTTCATGTTTGATTTTCACTATTGCTGTCTCCAGGATCCTGGCTGTGCAGGGACGTGTGCTGACCATGGCCTTGGCAAATTTTTCAGTGAGTGTTTCATTTTCATTCAATTCTCCCCTGTGTGTACATCACATAATGTGTACCAGTAACTGGATGATTGTATGTTTTCCACTCCTGAGTTGATCAATCTGTTATATCTTTAGTTGTATGTATTTCATTCCTGTGTTGAATAAGGTGTTATATTATCAGTTGTTTTTCACACCTCTGAATTGACCCAGCTATCATGTCTGTAGTTGTATGTATTTCATCCTTGATTTGAATAAGGTTTTATATTTTCAGTTCTTATCTCTAATTTTGACCTTCTAACATGAAAATAAAAGGTAGCAGCCATTTTCACAAAGAGGTGTTACACTGAGTAAATTTCTCTTTATCAATCAGTAAAGTTTGATTATGTATGCACATGACTCAGTTTAATAAGTTAGATTGGATATAGTATATGAGTAAGTTGAAAAAGACATTATTTCATTGATAAGCTTCATTTTATCAGTAAATTTGATGTTTTATAAAAGTGGTTCTGTATTTTGCTGATGTGTTTGCTAATGGTGTTTCTTTGTTTTTAGATCTGTCCCTTTTACCAGAAATTCCAGTTCTAAACCAATGGAAAGTAAAATATAACCAAGTCAAATTGTCCTGGCAACCAAGCAAGTCACGAAGTCAAGTTTTATATGCAGTCCAGTACAAGAAAATTAACAGCCAGATTTGGGAAAATGCAATATATGAGGTATGTTGGTAATTTTAGAGTATATATATATATAGAATGTTCCTGCCCTGCAAATGTATTCAGTTCTAAGTAAGTCATTGTTCTTCAAATAATGACAATCTTTATTTTTGTGTAAATTAGAAACGTAGATGTCTTACATACTTATGTATAAAATGAAGATATACAAGGTAGTAAGTATACTTTAGATTCAGAACGACGCTACTTATGATGACTCCTTACTTTAAATTCAGATCCAAACATTGTCGTGTACAATTGACATTGTGGATGTGTGTTCAGACCATCACTTTCGTGTCATAGCCATTAACAGACATGGATCACGTGGATTTTCAAATTATACCTATATATCTGCCTCAGGTAAGTACCACCTTCTTTGTAGCTGAATTGTCGAAGATTATCTAAGGTTCTGCTACTAGTTACCCTGTAAGGTTTCAATACTAGTTATTGTCTAAGGTTCTAATACTAGTTATTGTCTAATGTTCTAATACTAGTTATTGTCTAATGTTCTTATACTAGTTATTGTCTAAGGTTCTAATACTAGTTATTGTCTAAGGTTCTTATACTAGTTATTGTCTAATGTTCTTATACTAGTTATTGTCTAAGGTTCTAATACTAGTTATTGTCTAAAGTTCTAATACTAGTTATTGTCTAAGGTTCTTATACTAGTTATTGTCCAAGGTTCTTATACTAGTTATTGTCTAAGGTTCTTATACTAGTTATTGTCCAAGGTTCTTATACTAGTTATTGTCTAAGGTTCTTATACTAGTTATTGTCTAAGGTTCTAATACTAGTTATTGTCTAAGGTTCTTATACTAGTTATTGTCTAAGGTTCTAATACTAGTTATTGTCTAATGTTTTAATACTAGTTATTGTCTAAGGTTCTAATACTAGTTATTGTCTAAGGTTCTAATACTAGTTATTGTCTAAGGTTCTACTACTTACCATTATCCAAGGTTCTATTTCTAGTTATTGTCTAAGGTTCAAATACTAGTTATCCTCTAAAGTTCTACTACTAGTTTTTGTCAAAGGTTCTACTACCTGTCATCATCTAAAGTTCTAATACTAGTTATCATGCTACACTTTATCTCTCATTTTAGATTTGGGAAATAGATAGGTATGGTTGATAAAGTTGAAACTTTGTGCTTGAACTCCTTGTTGTCATTTTGACATCAATAGGTTATAGATTTTCAGGAGACTTCAGGATAAACAGTTAGTCATCACTGTCACTAACGATACACTTCCACTTCTTCCACAGCATTTCACATTGATCCTGTACACAATGTTACCTTTCTTGGGCGAGGAATTTACTATTACCCTGGCACACAAGAATTCATGGCGATCATTCAGTGGGACGGCCTTCCTGGTGAGACATCAAATCAATAACAATCAAATAGGAGTTTGAAAGAAAAAGTCATTCCAAGCAATTTTTTCTTTGTATGCATTTTTAGATTCAACATTCTGCATTTTACACAGTGACAAAGTTTGTTAGTATAACCGGTCGAAGGGATTAGTAAGCTTATTAGTATGCTATGGTGTGGTCTCTGTAAACTATTTGTCAAGTTTCCCTTTGAAACACTACGAATAAACCAAATGCCTGTTTGGATTTTTATCAAATTTGGTCTCGAGCATCATTGGATGAATGGGAATCAATGGGTGTAAAGAGTAAGAAAGACAATATTTCAGTTTATATAAACCAAGGGACAAAGGTAAATGCTTTAAGTATATCACTGTTGGTTAGATTAATAAGATTTTATCAAATTTTGTCCAGACATAGTTGAGTAAAGAGTTAATCAATTTGTATTAAATGGTAGGTTTTTCCATCAAGTAATCTTGACCAAATTTGGTCTGAAACATTCTTAAGTGAAGAAGAATGACCTTGTATTATAAATGGTGGAAAGGGGACCAGATATGGACCTTTTTTGCATCCTGAATGGTATAATTGTATAGATTATTCTGACAAGGAGACTGCTGTAACAAGATGAGCAATACAGGCCATATGGGTCTCTTGCATTTCTCATAGTCTTTCATTGACTGGTTGCTGCACTGCCTGTAAGAATTCACTGAACAGTTACACTGCAGACAAATAGATGTCATAGATATTTATAGGTGTCCAAGTCAAATCAGTCAGCTTCCATTCACCCCTGTATTATCATCACATATGGTCATACTTCACATCTTTCAGACTAATGACGGCCAATTTCAATAAACCTTTGTCAGAGGCTCACCAATATGCATCTGATTACTTGGCAACGGATTAAGGTTATGACATCTGTTACCTGTTTGTGGTCAGGATCAATTTATTTTAGTCAAGGGCTGATAGGAAATTTCATTTGAGGCTTGGAATGATGTTTTGCTGCAGAATACTGCCCTTCACTGAGAGAAATCAATCTCCAACACACATTGATATGGCATTGTTTCTTTATGATAAATTTTGTCAAAATTACACTCGAACCACTTTCGTGAATGGTTCTGACTCATTATCTGCATTGCAGTTGACTTGGACAAAAATAAATCATTGGTTCTTAGACAGAAACTTTTGGACTGATATAGTACTTGTGAAATACTTATTCAACTCGTTTGTTTTGACCAGATTGCCTTCCTTGTGAGTTACGCATTAGGAATAAAAATGGCTATATCTCTTTGGTACAAAGTGACATACAGGAGACTAATGAATCAAGACAGAAAAATCTAGCACTGGGTTGTTTATGTATCATACCCAAACAAAAATTTCATGATTTTAATCAGTTTGGGGGTTGGGGGTTGGGGGTAGGGGCAGAGTGCCCCTACAGCTGTATTGATGAAGAGTCTAGGACTCTAATTTCAGTGCTGGATCGATGAGTTTGAAGATAAAATAGAATCAGTCAAACCAATCAGGAAACCTGTCTTATACCTAAATACATTCAACTTTAACAGGAAAAGACAATGCTTATGATGATATCATTAAACATCATTCCAAATAGTCTACCATCTATTTCTTCACACCCTTGTATAGAACCTCTAGTGGCCTGGCTACCTAAACAGCATCTCGACAGTCAGCTGTATGAGGCTATTGAAAAGCTCAGCTACAGTATCTCGGGGCCCAAAAAAGGTCATGTATGGCAGCAGGTACTGCTTTTTCTTGTAAACCTCAATGACACTGTAGTTTTTTGTTTCCATTTACCATCTGTTTTGTATGTAGGATGGGACACACCTAGTGCTATGCTAGAATACAAATGGAATGACACACCCAGAATGACTTGTAACAACAAATTAACCAACATAATGCCTATCTTTGAGAGAGGTACAAATACTGTAAGTATCTTTATTGACAAAACAAATTTTCAGGAAAATATTAACTAGCACAAAACAATGACAAATAACGATGACCTAAAAAAAAAACTAAAGAAACAAATTTAGGCTCATTGTTACTTTTTATAGAAAATTACTATCTAGTTTGAAGATTTCACACTAAAGCAATTTCACGTCTGAAGGGATTTTGATCAAGCTTTCGCCAAATGTTCGATATGAGAAAAGTGATTTTTTGAAAGTAAATTCCCTTGACTGAATACATTTCCAAGGAAATTGCATGAATGGCACGATTTGTGAGAGATTTTATCTGATTTGTCCAGGTTGAATATCTGAGGTTTTGAAGTGTTCAGATAAACAAAATATGGAACTTAATGATGCTGTCTTCTATTACAGTCTGCCGCCAGTTACCGCAGAATTCTTATGCACATCAACGCTGACGCATATGGCTGTCTTTATCAGGGGCAGGTTTGTTCTCTTTTATCTAATGACTTCTACACTAAATGCAATGTAGAATATATAATGTTTCTTTGTTATTATGATGATCTCGGAGTGATTTCAGCATAACTTGTTGCCCCAAGGCCTACTCTATAATGTTTGGGAAAGTTTTACCTTACACAAAGGTTCAGGAGTTGGAAGTTGATTGTTGATTTGGCTTGTTATAGTTTAAAAAAGAATTTCTTCTGTAGGTTCGGGCTGAAACCAAGTGTGGCCTATTAGGACCATGGACAAACTTTACACTGGATCTTACAGGTACACTCAAAATTATGAGCACTCAACACTTTGGTATTTCTCATACTTCAGACATAATACAACAGGTAAACAGATAACCAATGTTTCATTAGAAGTGTGGTACTCAGATATGGTTACAGCAATTACCACAAAAAATGTTTCGTCAGTATATTTCACAGCAGATATTTCAATGTTTAGCCTAGTTGGACAGAGCATAATTGACTCTCTGATTTAAGTATTACATAACTGATTTTTTTTTTCAGATTGCCAAAACATATTCAACTTTCCATGTGTAGCAGCAGCATGTAAGTACCTTTTACCCTGAGAGACCTTTCCTCATACTTTAACAATACAGATGTCATTTAGTGTGGACATATTACTACAGATAAATTATTAAGTGTTGGTCTATGTTAACTCTTAGGTACATAGTTTGATGTTAACTACCCTTGACAGTTTAGGTTTCCCAGGAAGTTGGGAAATAGGCTGGTCTGTGGGGACATGGCTGTGTCTTTGAGCACGACACTTTACCGTAATCGCTGTGGATGGCATGTTTTAGACCTTCCATATGTTCAGTGAGGTAGCCACCAGCTAGGTCCTTAGACTCTGACCAATGGCATCTTTTTGTTAGAAAAATCTTAGAGAATCAGAGATAATGTATATAAAATAAGGTTATGTGTATAGCCTTTAGTCAGTTAATTAGGTCATGTGTATAGCCTTTAGTCGATTAATTAGGTTTTGTGTATAGATTTAGTCGGTTAATTAGGTTATGTGTACAGCCTTTAGTCAGTTAATTAGGTTATGTGTATAGTCTATAGTCAGTTAATTGGGTTATGTGTATAGTCAATAGTCGGTTAATTATGTTTTGTGTATAGTCTTCAGCCAGTTAATTAGGTTATGTGTATAGTCTTTAGCCGGTTAATTAGGTTATGTGTGTAGTCTTTAGTCAGTTAATTATGTTTTGTGTATAGTCTTTAGCCGGTTAATTAGGTTATGTGTATAGTCTTTAGCAGGTTAATTAGGTTATGTGTATAGTCTTTAGTCAGTTAATTGGGTTATGTGTATAGTCTTTAGTCAGTTAATTATGTTTTGTGTATAGTCTTTAGCCGGTTAATTAGGTTATGTGTATAGGTTATGTGTATAACCTTTAGTTGGTTAATTAGGTTATGTGTATAGTCTATAGTCAGTTAATTAGGTTATGTGTATAGTCTTTAGCTGGTTAATTAGGTTATGTGTATAGGTTATGTGTATAGTCTATAGTCAGTTAATTAGGTTATGTGTATAGTCTTTAGTTGCTTAATTAGGTTATGTATATAGTCTATAGTCAGTTAATCAGGTTATGTGTATAGTCTTTAGTCAGTTAATTGGGTTATGTGTATAGTCTTTAGTCATTTAATTAGGTTATGTGTATAGTCTATAGTCAGTTAATTGGGTTATGTGTATAGTCTATAGTCAGTTAATTAAGTTATGTGTATAGTCTATAGTCAGTTAATTAGGTTATGTGTATAGCCTTTAGTCAGTTAATTGGGTTATGTGTATAGTCTATAGTCAGTTAATTGGGTCATGTGTATAGCCTTTAGTCAGTTAATTGGGTTATGTGTATAGTCTTTAGTCAGTTAATCAGGTTATGTGTATAGTCTATAGTCAGTTAATTAGGTTATGTGTATAGCCTTTAGTCAGTTAATTGGGTTATGTGTATAGTCTATAGTCAGTTAATTGGGTCATGTGTATAGCCTTTAGTCAGTTAATTGGGTTATGTGTATAGTCTTTAGTCAGTTAATCAGGTTATGTGTATAGTCTATAGTCAGTTAATTGGGTTATGTGTATAGTCTATAGTCAGTTAATTGGGTTATTTGTATAGCCTTTAGTCAGTTAATTGGGTTATGTGTATAGTCTATAGTCAGTTAATTGGGTTATGTGTATAGTCTATAGTCAGTTAATTAAGTTATGTGTATAGTCTATAGTCAGTTAATTAGGTTATGTGTATAGCCTTTAGTCAGTTAATTAGGTTATGTGTATAGTCTGTAGTCAGTTAATTAGGTTATGTGTATAGTCTATAGTCAGTTAATTAGGTTATGTGTTAAGCCTTCAGTTGGTCATCATCATTGGGATGAGTCTAATCAACTTATTTCACTTCTTACATTTCAGATTGTCAAACTAGATTAAACTCTCCATGTGCAGCTGCATCTGCTGTCACTTGTAAGTACTAGGTCCTTAGATTACTCTGAACAATCATACTTTCTCATATATACCTTAATATCGTTAATTTTTGTCAGGACTTTGTTTTTGTTGATTCCGTTGGTACTCTTAATCCGTATGTGAGTAATATAAGGTGCCAAATGTTCTTAAATATTGACATTGTTTACATTCCAGTTTCTCCTCCTGGAAGCGTGGAGAATGTATCGCTATGTGTTGAGTATGGAGGCGTGAATTCATCAATGTTGATTCGCCTCCTGTGGGATGCGCCTACAGACCTTGGTAGTATGGGAGTCATAGACAGCTACACCATCAGATGGGGTCATGTCATACGAAAGGACTTTCCTGAGCCTCCAATTTTCACTGACCCGGTCCCCAGGAAAGTCAGTGTTAAAGCTGTAAGTCTTCTATTTTGTCATACATTTGAACTGATATAAATGTGACACTGGCAGTGTTTGAAGTGAAACAACACAACCATTTTAATGAGTTCAGGAACCAGGCTTTATTGGCTCAATCATAACAATCTGTAACCCAACAACAAATATAGATAAAAACATACTACACATTTATATTTCAACAAGTACAAACAAGGGACATAACTCTTACTAGTCTTACATTACCCATCTTGTGTAGTTATACAAGAGAAAAGAGTTGTTAATTACAATGAACACTACTTATAAATAAATTTATATTACTGAACAGTATTTCTATTAAATACAGTTTTAGCACATTTCAGTAATATCATATCTGTGTGTGGCACAGAGCTGATTGTAACAACTGATCACATGTAAACAGCTCATATCTAGGATTAAACAATACACTTTTATACTTATGTTTAATATCAGATATATGTCACCAAAACATTACTTAAAATCACAGTCTTTGCCTGCTCATTTACAAGTATGATACTTTGGTTAAAAAAGAAAACAAATCCCATTAAAATGAGCAATTAGATAATTGTCCACAGAATATATGTTGTCAACACTTTTTAGCTCATGGATTTATAAAATTTGAACTGTTTCAATTCAGCATTAAATATAGGCCATATTTAATATAAAAATAAAACACATGTGTAAATGTGATAATGTTTTGGTTATAGTTCACTTAAGCTTACTGGGTATATCAGACCTTTCTGTGTCATCAATAAACTTGATTTTTTAGGATGTCCAGGAGGTGGATGTACCAGTAGGCTATGATGAGATATCAGCAGACTATGGATTCCAGGTAAGACCCATAACTCCCATTCTCAATAGAAAGTAACCTGACTACAGGTCAAGGCCACTAGGTCAGAAATTAAAGGTCAAAAGTTTATTCACAAGCAAATATTTTGTAATTATATTATGGGGCAAAGTTGATCAAGAAGAAATAAGTAAGTGCATGATAGATTGTCAAAGGTCAAAGGTCAAAGTTTCAAGTCCAGGTCAAAATACCAGAAGAGTTTTATCTTGGTGTGCTGTCATCTCCATGTTTAGATGAGATCTCGTTATTGTTGATCTTCTTAAAAGGATGATACTACCAAGACAAGATCTCCACTAGTGAGTGGAACATGGTCCATTAACAATACCAAAGGAGGTTTAGACCCATATGACATTCAGGATGGATTTAATGGAAAATATTGCTATGGCTACTTCCTCTGAACTGAAAGTTGTAAGGAGATGAGACTTTCAATGATGGTCCATGATTCTGAGGGAAATACTGACTTACACTGATGTATGCTCAATGTATTCAGGGTAGCTGCTATGGTTACCATGCATGACAGCCATCTTGAAAATCTTGTTAGCACTACTCCTGATTGGGAAGTAGTATTGAGACAGATCCATGAGATGAGTATGGTCTAAGGATGGTTCAGAATCTGGACCAATGCTGCATACAAGATAACCACTATCTGGGAAATTAGAAGGTCACATCAAGATAAGACATCCACTTATTATGTGTTGTCACATGATGGATACAAGTAAAATTCTGATCAGTGTTGTATTCAAGAGAGTTTCATTTAATGACATTTTTAAAGCTGACCTTTTCTTCCTGACTTTCTAACCATAGTTAGGGCAATCAGAAAATATCCCCTTGTGTAAAATGAATCAAGTATTCTGTTCATATCTTGATTCATACCTTTCATAATTTTGATAATTGATAAACCTGTCTATTTCGGGATTTGCTATTTTTTCATTAACAAGAAAACCATGTTAATGATATACTGCAAAACAATTTAAATTGGCGCAGTCAATATAAAGCATTCTGGGTACCTTTTCAGCCAGGTTATATTTAGCGCTGGGAAACATGGTATAAATTGTGAAGTCGTGAAAGTGGGGAATTCCTGTTCTATTTGTAGTGTAATCTCAGCAGTCAGAACAGGGAATTCCCGTTCTATTTGTAGTGTAATCTCAGCAGTCAGAACAGGGAATTCCCGTTCTATTTGTAGTGTAATCTCAGCAGTCAGAACAGGGAATTCCCGTTCTATTTGTAGTGTAATCTCAGCAGTCAGAACAGGGAATTCCCGTTCTATTTGTAGTGTAATCTCAGCAGTCAGAACAGGGAATTCCCGTTCTATTTGTAGTGTAATCTCAGCAGTCAGAACAGGGAATTCCCGTTCTATTTGTAGTGTAATCTCAGCAGTCAGAACAGGGAATTCCCGTTCTATTTGTAGTGTAATCTCAGCAGTCAGAACAGGGAATTCCCGTTCTATTTGTAGTGTAATCTCAGCAGTCAGAACAGGGAATTCCCGTTCTATTTGTAGTGTAATCTCAGCAGTCAGAACAGGGAATTCCCGTTCTATTTGTAGTGTAATCTCAGCAGTCAGAACAGGGAATTCCCGTTCTATTTGTAGTGTAATCTCAGCAGTCAGAACAGGGAATTCCCGTTCTATTTGTAGTGTAATCTCAGCAGTCAGAACAGGGAATTCCCGTTCTATTTGTAGTGTAATCTCAGCAGTCAGAACAGGGAATTCCCGTTCTATTTGTAGTGTAATCTCAGCAGTCAGAACAGGTGAACAGAATTACGGGTATGATTTACTAGTTTTTCAATATGTGTCAACATAGATACTGAATAAATGATTACAACTCGTGGGTAGTATGCATTGTCTTTCATTCCCTCTTCAGGATAACAAAGGGTGACACTGACATAACAAACATTGACTTCAGACTCTCACCTCTGAAGCCTATTCACTCTTGTGTGGCTTGTGAGAGCCCATGCTGCCAACACACCAAACAAGTCGTTGGAGACTACAGGAATATTAGATGTGTTGTAAAAACAACAGGCTGTTCAAGCCATTAGACATTGTGTTACTGGATTGTTGTACAAATTATTGGTATTACTAAATTGTGTTTCCAATTTTTGTTGATCTGTTTCAAGCATCATGGCAACTTTAGTGGTCATATACATTTAGCACTTCTATGGCTATGCGCGAAAAATGTTTATATTAAATGAGAGCTAAATTTTTTCGTTGGATATACAAACATACACTCTGCTTTCAGGTTGTGCCTGTTGCACCCCAACAACAGATACAGGACGATGAATGGGGATTATTTGATGTCTACACAGTACGGATCAGCTCCAACACTAGCAACCACTCACCTCCAGGTAGGATGTCTCTTCTGGATAACACCAGTAATCAGTCACCCACAGGTAGGGTGTCTGGTCTGTCAAATGCCAGTAACCACTCACCCTCAGGTAGGATGTCTGGTCTGACAAACACCAGTAATCAGTCATCCACAGGTAGGGTGTCTGGTCTGTCAAACACCAGTAATCAGTCATCCACAGGTAGGATGTCTGTTCTGTCAAACACCAGTAATCAGTCATTCACAGGTAGGATGTCTGGTCTGACAAACACCAGTAATCAGTCATCCACAGGTAGGATGTCTGGTCTGTCAAACACCAGTAATCAGTCACCCTCAGGTAGGATGTCTGGTCTGTCAAACACCAGTAATCAGTCACACACAGGTAGGATATCTGGTCTGACAAACACCAGTAATCAGTCACCCACGGGTAGGATGTCTGGTCTGACAAACACCAGTAATCAGTCACACACAGGTAGGATATCTGGTCTGTCAAACACCAGTAATCAGTCACACACAGGTAGGATATCTGGTCTGACAAACACCAGTAATCAGTCACCCACGGGTAGGATGTCTGGTCTGGCCAACTTCAGAGACCACTGACCACAAGATAAGATATCTCTGGTGGATACTCCATGGCCATAGTTAGCTTAAATGAGAGAATCATGTAGAAAAGATCATTAGGAGATTTCATGTGATATAGTGTGACCACCATATTAGTCTTTGTTTAAAGCAACAGAACTCGGAAGCCCAGACTCCTAACATTTTCATACCCTTATGTACATTGTAATCACATTGTTTAGTTTGTGTTTCTCTCTGTTGGCACATCTGTCCATAGCACAAAGATTTTGGACAAGATTATCTTATTAAACCAAACACATTTACATCATATTCATGCCTTAACATCACATCATCAAGTTCTACACCAGATTGAATTTTTATGGTTGTCAGTCAAGTTTAAAGGTTCCAAGTAAGAATATAAGTAAATGGACATGTTTACTGTATTTGTTATGTTCCTTGTACAGGAACTGTCCTCTTGGATGAGGCTGGAGTTAGGGTGGTACAGATCCCAAATGCTCTCAGTGTAGATATGATGTGGCAGCCACGAACCATGCTACAGTCACCGTCCTCAAGCACCGCCTGCAAGGAACACTACTCAATACAGCTGGGGCGTATCATACGAGATAGCACCTTACGCCCACACCTCACAGACACAACTGTCCAGTATATACATGGGGTAAGTTCTCATACACATTCTTAATCTAATATTAACCTTTAACAAAATTAACCTGTATGTCATCTCAATGCCAGTTTCTGAGAAGGCAATATATCGTCATCACTAAACAGTATATGACATACTTACTCTCAGATACTAGTTTGACAGGTAGAGAGAAGAGATACTAGGTGACACACTGTCAGATATTGTGTACATGTTGACATGTATTCTGTCTAGGTGTGTGACACACTGTCAGATATCATGTACATGTTGACATGTATTCTGTCTAGGTGTGTGATATACTGTCAGATATTGTGTACATGTTGACATGTATTCTGACTAGGTGTGTGATACACTGTCAGATATTGTGTACATGTTGACATGTATTCTGTCTAGGTGTGTGATATACTGTCAGATATTGTGTACATGTTGACATGTATTCTGTCTAGGTGTGTGATACACTGTCAGATATTGTGTACATGTTGACATGTATTCTGTCTAGGTGTGTGATATACTGTCAGATATTGTGTACATGTTGACATGTATTCTGTCTAGGTGTGTGATATACTGTCAGATATTGTGTACATGTTGACATGTATTCTGTCTAGGTGTGTGATATACTGTCAGATATTGTGTACATGTTGACATGTATTCTGTCTAGGTGTGTGATACACTGTCAGATATTGTGTACATGTTGACATGTATTCTGGCTGGGTGTGTGATATGCCATCAGATATTAGTATACATGTTGACATGTCACAAGTAGTCATATGACATACACTGATATATTAGCATATATGTTGATTTTTATCATGTCTATGTGTATGACATACCGTCAGACATCAGCATATATGATGACATGTGTCATGAGTGTTACAAAGTGAAGTGCGGTTCCAACTAAATTCAGATAAAACAATTTTTTTTATAATGAAGCAATAATTTAGTGGTCATTTGGAGGACACTATTTTCCATGTTTGGTACAAATTGATACCAAGTCTCCATGGTGTCAATCCATGTAAATGTCAAGGTTATATGATTTACAAAGTCAAATTAAATGTTAATCCAGGAGAAATCCAAATTTAATGTGAATTTAAGGTATCACGGACATGCTTTGTATGTGATCTATACAATATTTACTAGCAGAAAAAAGAAATGCAAGTTCAGTTTTGGTAATATAACTTTTTTATCTGTAGACCAAATGTTGTGAAATGTGACTCATGAATACCTCAGTGTACTGTCTAAATAATCGTCAGTTTAAATTTGGTCAACCGTGACCAGGGGCGACGCTGCACGATTTGAACAGATTTTCCAACAAAGTGTGTGTCCATAGCACTACCACGTGTTATCAACTTGAAAACCATACCAAATTCAAGTTTTGAACTGCACACATCCAGTGCACAACATTTCATTCCAAGGCAATTAAAAAGCAGCATGCCGCGAATGTCCGAAGTTGATAGGGGTAGGGCTATTGCCCAAATTCTATAGGGCCAATCGCAACGTCTCGTCACCCAGCCATTTGGAGTCCATGAATCAACGATAGCTAAATTAGTTGGGCGTCTCAGGGCCATGGGAAGATTAGCTGACCATCCCAGGAGCGGACGTCCACCCGTTACGAAGCCACGTCAAGATCAGGGCATACGTCTCTCACACCTACGTAACCGATTTCAGACAGCGACGGAGACGGCAAATATATTGTAGGCACTCATGGTCGCCGTGTGTGTCCAAGAACAGTTAGGAATCGGTTGCGGGAGTTCAATTTAAGGCCACGACGTCCCTACGTCGGTCCGCAACTTACAACCAGGTGACGTCAATATCGAATTCAATGGCTGCGTGCACATGCACCAAATCGGTTTTGCTTGGCCCACTGGAGACGAGTGTTATTCACGGACGAGTCTCGGTTCACGTTGTACAGGTCAGATGGACGAAAACGTTGCTATCCATGTCGCGGTGAGCGATATTTTGATGCATGCGTTAAAGAAAACGATAGAATTTGGGAGGGTCTGTTATGGTTTGGGCGGGGATTTCTCATGGCGTGAAAACACCTCTCGTGATTATCCAAGGCAATCTTTCAGCCGTCCGATATCAGGATCAGGTCCTCATTCCTCATGTCCTTCCATTAATCCAAGCGCGAAACCTTACTTTGCAGCAGGATAATGCGAGGCCGCACGTTGCTAGGGTGTGTCGTAACTTCCTCAACCAAAACAATGTCCTAGTACTCGACTAGCCACCCTACAGTCCAGATCTGTCCCCGATCGAGCATTTGTGGGACGAGCTGGAAAGGAGGCTCAGGAAGCGCGTCAACATCCCAAACGTCGCTCAGCTTAGCAGGCCCTTCTTCAGGAGTGGAATAACATCCCACAAAGGACCATAAACACTTTGATGGGGTCAATGGTAAGGAGAGTTAGAGCAGCAACTGCAGCTCGAGGTGGGCACACCCGCTATTGATTTTGATCTGGAAATGGCGTAGGGTATCCACGTTTAAACGCTATCCATGCCAACGCCGTCTGTGTTAAGACAACAGAACTTATCAAATTTTAATCAGTAATGAGGAATTAATATAAACATCTGAACAATGATATGATCATCCATAAAACATTTGAAATATTTACCACCGTACAAAAATTTGCATTTCTTTTTTCCGTTAGTATACAAATTATAACATTAAATTTGTCCCTAAAAATATTTGACAAAGAGTTTTCCCACATATAAGCACCCAAAAGAAACCTACAAAAATATGTTATATCTGAATTTAGTTGGAACAAATGTTTATCTAAAATAACATGATAAAACAGTACATACAGTTTATCAGGCACATCAGGAAGTTCAAGTATGTCCTTGTAAAAGAAAAAACATCAAGAAAATACTGATATGTCAATATAATCATAATCCAAACTCAAATTCCTTAAAACTACGGCAAAATATGAAGGAGAACAAGACCAGGTGTTCTGAAAGAGTAAAATTGACACAAAATTATAATCAGAACATGTGTATATTGATAATAAATTGATAAAATATTTACTTTGATTACTATATATATATATATATCAGACATTTGTTAATGATTTTTGTGATATTCAGTTAATTCGTAATAACATTATTGCCAATGATGGTAATAATGACGTGACTTCTGTGGTAGTATTGTAGTGTCTTTAAGGCCTCTTTAGAGATTGAGACCTCAGTTTCAACTACTGATTATCATACAAATATAAAGAGCTTATAAATTTGACTTTCAGGGTAAAACCAGAAAAAAATGGCAGGAAATTGGACGGATGTAGAGCCCATGGTCAGTGTGTCACAACAGTTGTTTGTGGAAGCCAGTTATATCTAAAGTCATGTCATGTCTATTTCCTTGTCCATTCTGGGTAACGGGTACTTTGGAAATAAATATTTTGTTTTAATCTGTTTGGCCGTTTCTTCTGGCTTTCTTGTTTCACTTACAAGCTGCCTGTTGTGACACACTGATGGAGGACTGGGATTGGGGATAGTGTAACTTTATTTGAATATTACTTCATTGAATAGAAATGTGTTGTCTATCACTGGCAGCTTGTATAGTGTTACTACGTAAGATATATTTGATTGGATACCTTACTGATCAAAACATCCTCAATATTGACTTGTTGAAGACAGTAACCTTACCAACAATACCTGTTTAAACTGAATACCGAGTACACAACCTCCTCACCAGTAAATATTACTGAATACACAACCTCCTCACCAGGAAATATTACTGAATACACAACCTCCTCACCAGTAAATATTACTGAATACACAACCTCCTCATCAGTAAATATTACTGAATACACAACCTCCTCACCAGTAAATATTACTGAATACACAACCTCCTCACCAGTAAATATTACTGAATACACAACCTCCTCACCAGTAAATATTACTGAATACACAACCTCCTCGCCAGTAAATATTACTGAATACACAACCTCCTTACCAGTAAATATTGCTGAATACACAACCTCCTCACCAGTAAATATTACTGAATACACAACCTCCTCACCAGTAAATATTACTGAATACACAACTTCCTCACCAGTAAATATTACTGAATACAAATCCTCCTTACCAATAAAAACTACTGTACACACAACGTCCTCAACAACAGATGTTGCTGGACACACAACCTCCTCAACAACAGATGTTGCTGGACACATAACCTCCCCAACAATAGATGTTGCTGGACACACAACATTGTCAACAATAGATGTTGCTGGACACACAACCTCCCCAACAACAGATGTTGCTGGACACACAACCTCAACAACAGATGTTGCTGGACACAAAACCTCCCCAACAATAGATGTTGCTGGACACACAACCTCCTCAACAACAAATGTTGCTGGACACACAACCTCCCCAACAACAGATGTTGCTGGACACACAACCTCCCCAACAACAGATGTTGATGGACGCACAACATTGCCAACAATAGATGTTGCTGGACACCCAACCTCCTCAACAATAGATGTTGCTGGACACACAACTTCCTCAACAACAGATGTTGCTGGACACACAACCTTCTCAAAAACAGATGTTTCTTGACACACAACCTCCTCAAGAATAGATGTCGCTGGACACACAACCTCCTCAACAACAAATGTTGCTGGACACACAACCTTCTCAAAAACAGATGTTGCTGGACACACAACCTTCTCAAAAACAGATGTTGCTGGACACCCAATCTCCTGAACAACATATGTTGCTGGACACCCAATCTCCCCAACAACAGATGTTGCTTGACACACAACATTGTCAACAATAGATGTTGCTGGACACACAACCTCCTCAACAACAGATGTTGCTGGACACACAACCTTTTCAACAACAGATGTTGCTGAACACACAACCTACTCAACAACATATGTTGCTGGACACCCAACCTCCTGAACAACAGATGTTGCTGGACACACAACCTTCTCAACAATAGATATTGTGGGACACACAACCTCCTCAACAACATATGTTGCTGGACACCCAACCTCCTGAACAACAGATGTTGCTGGACACACAACCTTTTCAACAACAGATGTTGCTGGACACACAACCTTCTCAACAACAGATGTTGCTGGATACACAACCTCCCCAACAACAGATGTTGCTGGACACACAACCTCCCCAACAATAGATGTTAATGAACACACAACTTCCCCAACAATTAATATAACCAAGCAAATAACCCCCTCAGCAATAAACATTACTGCATATACAACCTTCTGAACAGTAGATGTTTTCAAACACTAGTGTCTTACGACCAGACACTTGTCTGCACATGCTTTTGCTAATAAGACAACTTCATTGATACTAAAGTAGAGTAATAAGGGATAAATCACATATTCCACATGACATCAGGTGTTGACTGTGTTCTGAGATTAATAGACTGAATATATACTGTAAAATCATTCATTTTTGTTGGAGTTTTATTTTCATTGATTTTGCGGGTACCTTAATCCACAAATTTATATATATCAACAAACTGTTAAAATTAGTATAAGTAGATGAATTGAGCTAAATTTAACCTCAAAATTGAATGTCTACAAAACGGTGCTTTTTGAAAGACCACAAAAAATTAAGCTCAATCAAATTTTGATTTGCAAGCAAATTAAAACCTCAGGTGCTTGAATGGATTGGTAGTCTTTTCAAAAATCTTAAGACCTGAGTAAGGTTACTCTAAATGAAACAATACATATTGTACATGTATTGTCGGTTAAAACCGTTGTGACTTTATTCAAGTCACTCGTGGAATAAAGAAAGAAAAGTGAGTTGTGTTGGTTAGGAATGGACATGATTCAAGTAGGACACTTGTATCTTATAGCTGTGAACTAATAAATAATAGTTTATTTAAAAAATTAGTGAATAACAAAATTGAAGATTCATTGAGTAGTGACACAATATCAATTCATTAAATAGATAAAGTTAATAATGACAAAATGAAATATAATTCTATATTATTGAAATAGTGAGAGAAACAAAAATGCTTTGGATGAAATAATTAATGTTTTCTCAGAATAAGACAGACCTGCAGCTGAACCTGCAGTATGTTGGAGCAGAGTATGGATTTAGGGTAAGGTCTTCAGTATTTCTGTTTTATTGAGCTACAATAACATTATTTAAAGCTTTACTTGTTATATAATGCTGTCTTAATTGACCCTTTCAAAGCCTTTTTGTCTTCTTATGGTATGCATAATTCATAGTCCCTTTAGTCACTTACATTATAGATTTCATAGTCTCCTTGTCACCATATAATATGCTTATTTCATACCCTTTTGTTTACCTTATAATATTCATATTTCATACCCTCTTGGTTACCATATAATATGCATTTTTCATACCCTCTTGGTTACCTTATAATATGTTTTGTTCATACCCTCTTGGTTACCTTATAATATGTTTTTTTCATACCCTCTTGGTTACCTTATAATATGTTTTTTTCATACCCTCTTGGTTACCTTATAATATGCATTTTTCATACCCTCTTGGTTACCTTATAATATGCATTTTCATACCCTCTTGGTTACCATATAATATGCATTTTCATACCCTCTTGGTTACCATATAACATGCATTTTTCATACCCTCTTGGTTACCTTATAATATGTTTTTTTCATACCCTCTTGGTTACCTTATAATATGCATTTTTCATACCCTCTTGGTTACCATATAATATGCATTTTTCATACCTTCTTGGTTACCATATAACATGCATTTTTCATACCCTCTTGGTTACCTTATAATATGTTTTTTTCATACCCTCTTCGTTACCATGTAATATGCATTTTTCATACCCTCTTGGTTACCTTATAATATGCATTTTTCATACCCTCTTGGTTACCATATAATATGCATTTTTCATACCCTCTTGGTTACCTTATAATATGTTTTTTTCATACCCTCTTCGTTACCACGTAATATGCATTTTTCATACCCTCTTGGTTACCTTATAATATGTTTTTTTCATACCCTCTTGGTTACCTTATAATATGTTTTGTTAATACCCTCTTGGTTACCTTATAATATGCATATTTCATAGCATCCTGGTCATTTTTAATTGTACATATTTCATATCCTCTTGGTTACCTTAAAATATCCCTATCTTATGGCCTTTTTAGGTGACCTGAGACAAAGCCTCGTTGTAACCTATTGCGTTCACCTTCATCTGGCATCTGCGTCCACAAACAATTTAACATTTTTTCACTTCTTCTCAAAAACTCCTGATCTGATTTCAATGAAATTCTACAGAAGTCTTCAATGGCCTAAGATGAACCAAAATTGTGAATGATACAGTCCCCACCACACAGGGACATGAGGAGTGGGGCCAGAAGTGGTCAGATTGACTCAGATTTTAAAAATCTTCTTCTCAACCTCCAGATATGGTAGAATCAAATACTCTTTATGAATGGAAACATCTTGAAGTGCTTTACCAAAATTGTGAATTTCATGGCCCAAGGGTCTCACATTGCCCTGTGGGAAGGGGTAAAGTTAACTATAGTTTAAATAGGAAAATTAGATTTTTTGAGCATAATTTGTTTAATTTCCATTGAAAGTTTTCAAACTTAGTTAGAATTATGAGTGACAGCTTGACGGTATGCCCATGTTAATCCTGGCTGACCTCCAGGGGCTGATTGGCAGAGCTAAAAGGGGTTCAATTGACTTCAATTTCAAAATCTTCTTCTCAACACCCAGGTATGGTAGATTCAGATGTTCTGTATGAATGAAAGCATCTTAAGGTTCTTTAATTACCAAAATGGGTCTCATATTTCTTCTAGGGAAAGTGTTTTTATACTTTATGTTAATTTTCATAGAAAAATTGCATTTTTGAGCATAATGTTGGTTTTTTTCTCATTGGAAATGACTTTGTAAGAATTATTAGTATAGGATGACAGTTTTGATGGTATGCATTTCTTGACACTGGCTTACTATATTCAGTGTCACAATTTCTGTTTCATGACATAACTAACCTTTAACCTTTATATTCAATATTGCTTATCTCGGTGACCATTAAGGTCATTAGGCCTCTTGTTGGCACCTTACCATATCCATATTTCATGTCTTCTATATGCATATTTTATGGCCAGTTTGTCACCTTACAGTATGCATATTTTATGGCGTGTTTGTCACCTTACAATATGCTTATTTCATTGTTTCTTTTTCACCTACTGGTATTGCATGGTCATAGCCTCTTAATTACTGAGCCTCATCACCTACTGGTACAGATATTTCATAGCCTCAGAGTCTACTACTGGTTTGCATAATGTTCACAAATTCATGTGAATATTCTTGACTTTTTATAATACTTTTCAGTTGATAATTTCACATATTGACTTATCTGCTTGTTTTGGAAAGGTATCTTGATTTTACACTTAAACTCTGCATTCATATAAATAAATATTTCATTTTCTTCATCTTTTTTGTGTTCAAATTCAATCAATTTATTGAATTACAGCTTAAAGGATGTTTTGTCATGTCTTGACATAATATACGTTCTCAAAAGATAATATAAAAACTGTTTGCAGATCAGAAGTGTTGGTGTGAATGAGAATGTGTCAGATGAAGTTTGGAATGAAACTGAGCTACACATTTTCAAGTTCCAGGAAGACAATTTCAGTACTGAGACAGGTAGATAGACTTTATATACTGTGCTTGGAGTTAGAAAAGGATGTGTAGGAAAAGTTAGGAATGAGAAAAGGAAATACTGTGAGACAAGTAGGAGGATAGAAAGTGCATTTTTTATTAAAGTATACTGAAAAAAATGTTATATTGATGTTATTTTCTTTAAAGTCTACAACAAAAATATATTCATTTTAACTAAATTTAAAAAAAAAGACATGCATTTTGATTTGCTGGTAAAATTGCCTATGGATTCCTTACAATGTATTCTGATGTATGCCATTGGCCTTATTTGGCTGACATATTGATAGTAGCACTGCAGCAATATTAAGGGAGATAACTGTACTTCATACATATTATTAGTCTAAATGTACCGTTTCATTTGACTTAAGATCTTTCATCCTAGAGTGAATAATATTCCAAGTGAATTAAATCCTGGTCAACTAAAGATAGGCTTAATCCATCATACCCATAATCCTCTATAATGTTATTTATTGATTAAAGAATGCAAAATAATTTTTAATTAAGTGTGATGTTATTTTGTCTCTTCATGATTTTGACAACCTTGCCACTATATCTGAGTCCATGACCAGACAAGCATGAAATATAGTTTTTCTTTTCATGTCACCAGGTAACAATGGCTGGGTGGACTTTTTAATTGTTGCCCTCGCTGTTACGGTGGTCTGTTTGGCTTGTATGAGTGCAGCATGGATACGTAAGAAACTTCACAGGCGTAAAAAACTTCCAAATTTACATGGACAGTTAGGGGCTGATGTAAATAACTATGAGATATTCCGCACACAGTAAGTGACCCAATTTCATAATATCAATGTTGTTTCTTGTTACCACTTATAATGCAAAATTACTAAACCATATACCATGCCTTACCAACTATATAAGTCCAAGGGTTCAACATAACACTTCTTACTCATAATCACAAATATTTGGTGAGCTTAGTACAGGACCATAAAATAGCATTGACTTATAACTGAACAGTTATATATACCAGTGGGCTTATCATCAGGTATGATCTTACAAGTTACTCTCTGGATAAGTTATCTCCCCTTATATAGGTTCATCTGCTTGACAAGTGTTTAGTCTTCTTACAAGATCCAGGCCACTCTGTCTGAATGACCATTACATAACTGTGTTGTGAAATCATTATTTCTGAGATCATTTCTAATATTATACAATTATGGCACTTGCTTTAGGTCAAGATGAAGATTAATGGAGAAAAATAACAAATATCGACTAAGGCCAAAATCCTCATATTGACAAAAATAAAGTGCCATTAATGTTTTATTACATTTCAGCAAAACATACCATTTAAATTGCATCTTATTCCGTCATATTCACCACAACTTCATGTATACAACATCTTTGATAAAACCTATTATACTCTTGTTCAGCTTGCTGGACATGTCTTATTGGCTAAAATTACACGATGTCATAGAACACTTGGACGAACATGCAATATGATGTTTTATCACTGTCATAGGGTGCAATTTGACGTTAAATTGAATAACACATGATCAATTGTAGATCAGTCAGTATTTGATATTAAACTGAAAATGTAATAATCATATTTGATACTTTGATTTTGACAGTTGTCTTTAATCACCCAGGTCTGTGTGATAAAATGTTAAATATACTTTGTGATGGTTTTCTCTACTGCTTAGGTCCAGTTTATCTTCCTTACTCACACCAGCAGTTGTACCAGATATGTGGGAACTGCCTCACAGCGGGATCAAGGTGGGCCCTGTTCTAGGTCAAGGGGCTTTTGGATTGGTCACCAAAGGACGCATTAGTGGATGTCTTCTTACTAACAGGAACATTCCCTTACCTCAGGAGGCTAGAAGAGAAGGAACAGAAATATCTGTGGCAATCAAAATGCTCAAAGGTAAAAAAGACCCACAGTAAACTTGGAAATTTATGCGTTAGGGAAATTTACACTAAATATGCAGCAGATGTTCAACTGTTTATCATGATTTATCATACATGTATATAGTACATTTACATCATAATTGATTACAGATACAGACGTTAAATTTAAACAAACAAGTCAAAGCTGGTAAACAACACATCATTCATAATGACTGACATGGTACTCAAATTGAATCCTCATGATTTGTGCTCACATTTTAGTGTAAATCATGTATGCATTACTAAGACAAGGCCATGTGGTTGGTTATCACAGAACAGTCGGCAATCACAGGAAACAACTTATTTTCAAAATATAAACTAAATACACAAAAGTACATCATTCAGGAAAATAACCGTCTCACGTACAGTTGACTAATTGAAATTGATCTATTTTTTTATGGCAGAAAATGTCAGAAAACCATTTAAGGTCAATACCAAAATCATCTCCCCTGTACTTTGTGTATCTTACCTGATCTTAGAAAGTTATTTCACTGTCACAATCACTATTTCTTTGGATGGAAATCCAATGTAAGTCACAAGCTTATTTCCAAAACTATTTAGGATAACTTTACTGATCACTGCTTATTAATCTTGCAGCCTTAAGAAGAAGTCTAGAAAGTGTTATTTCCTTATTTATGCTTTCACCATGGAAACATATACCCCAAATCACAAATTTTACTCTTTCTGAAGTATGTCTTCAAAATCCTTTTAATCTAACTACACAAATCTTCAGATATAGGACCTTGTGGGGTTACAGTGTCTTTCACTATGAATGAGTTCATTTTCCTTGTTGCTCCAATATTAATTGATTCCAAGTAGGTGTGTCTTTCATCATCTGCCTGAATGACTACATATACATGACTTTGTTATTCTAGAAAGAGTTTATGTATAATTGACTCAATAACTTGATGATATATCAAAAGATGATTTAAAAATTAGTCAAAAGTAAAAAGAAAAATGGACCAGTGTACCAACTTCCATGTCACATATTACAGCTGGAACTATTTTGAGAGTTTAACATTGCTGACATTTTAGATGATGATGACTGCTATCATAGGAGAGATTTTCTGCGAGAAATAGCTCTGATGAAAAAGATTGGCTACCATGCAAATGTGGTCAGCATGCTGGGATGCTGTACACTCTGTGATCCTGTGTGTGTCGTGGTGGAGCATATGCACAATGGGGACCTTCAGTCCTATCTGAAGGCCATCAGGAATTCAATGAGGGAGGTAAGAAATAGAAATTCCTGTTATCAGAAATAGATAACCCACCCTACTCTGATACAGACCAGTATCACGTCCCACCCTACTCTGATACAGAGATACAGACCAGTATCACATCCCACCCTACTCTGATACAGAGATACAGACCAGTATCACACCCTACTCTGATACAGACCCCACTCCTACAGACCAGTATCACTCCCACCCTACTCTGATACAGACCAGTATCACACACCCTACTCTGATACAGACTCTGATACAGACCAGTATCACATCCCACCCTACTCTGATACAGACCAGTATCACATCCCACCCTACTCTGATACAGAGATACAGACCAGTATCACATCCCACCCTACTCTGATACAGAGATACAGACCAGTATCACACCCTACTCTGATACAGAGATACAGACCAGTATCACATCCCACCCTACTCTGATACAGAGATACAGACCAGTATCACATCCCACCCTACTCTGATACAGAGATACAGACCAGTATCACATCCCACTCTGATACTGATACAGACCAGTATCACATCCCACCCTACTCTGATACAGACCAGTATCACATCCCACCCTACTCTGATACAGACCAGTATCACATCCCACCCTACTCTGATACAGACCAGTATCACATCCCACCCTACTCTGATACAGACCAGTATCACATCCCACCCTACTGATACTGATACAGACCAGTATCACATCCCACCCTACTCTGATACAGACCAGTATATCACATGATACAGACCACCCTACTCTGATACAGACCAGTATCACATCCCACCCTACTCTGATACAGACCAGTATCACATCCCACCTACTCTGATCCTGATACAGACCAGTATCACATCCCACCCTACTCTGATACAGACCAGTATCACATCCCACCCTACTCTGATACAGACCAGTATCACATCCCACCCTACTCTGATACAGACCAGTATCACATTCCACCCTACTCTGATACAGACCAGTATCACATCCCACCCTACTCTGATACAGACCAGTATCACATTCCACCCTACTCTGATACAGACCAGTATCACATCCCACCCTACTCTGATACAGACCAGTATCACAACCCACCCTACTCTGATACAGACCAGTATCACATACCACCATACTCTGATACAGACCAGTATCACATCCCACCCTACTCTGATACAGACCAGTATTACGTCCCACCCTTCTCTGATACAGATCAGTATCACGTCCCACCCTACTCTGATACAGACACTATCACATCCCACCCTACTCCAATACAGACCAGTATCACAACCCACCTACTCTGATACAGACCAGTATCACATCCCACTCTGATACAGACCAGTATCACATCCCACCCTACTCTGATACAGACCAGTATCACATCCCACCCTACTCTGATACAGACCAGTATCACATCCCACCCTACTCTGATACAGACCAGTATCACATCCCACCCTACCTGATACAGACCAGTATCACATCCCACCCTACTCTGATACAGACCAGTATCACATCCCACACACTGATACAGACCAGTATCACATCCCACTCTGATACAGACCAGTATCACATCCCACCCTACTCTGATACAGACCAGTATCACATCCCACTCTGATACAGACCAGTATCACATCCCACTCTGATACAGACCAGTATCACATCCCACCCTTCTCTGATACAGACCAGTATCACATCCCACTCTGATACAGACCAGTATCACATCCCACCTTACTCTGATACAGACCAGTATCACATCCCACCCTACTCTGATACAGACCAGTATCACATTCCACCCTACTCTGATACAGACCAGTATCACATCCCATCCTACTCTGATACAGACCACTATCACATCCCATCCTACTCTGATACAGACCAGTATCACATTCCACCCTACTCTGATACAGACCAGTATCACATCCCACCCTACTCTGATACAGACCAGTATCACATCCCACCCTACTCTGATACAGACCAGTATCACATCCCACCTTACTCTGATACAGACCAGTATCACATCCCACCCTACTCTGATACAGACCAGTATCACATCCCACCCTACTCTGATACAGACCAGTATCACATCCCACCCTACTCTGATACAGACCAGTATCACATCCCACCCTACTCTGATACAGACCAGTATCACATCCCACCATACTCTGATACACCATCCCACCCTACTCTGATACAGACCAGTATCACATCCCACCCAACTCTGATACAGACCAGTATCACATCCCACCCTACTCTGATACAGACCAGTATCACATCCCACCCTACTCTGATACAGACCAGTATCACATTCCACCTTACTCTGATACAGACCAGTATCACATCCCACCTTACTCTGATACAGACCAGTATCACATTCCAGCCTACTCTGATACAGACCAGTATCACATTCCACCCTACTCTGATACAGACCAGTATCACATCCCACCCTACTCTGATACAGACCAGTATCACATCCCCCCCTACTCTGATACAGACCAGTATCACATCCCACCTTACTCTGATACAGACCAGTATCACATCCCACTCTGATACAGACCAGTATCACATCCCACCCTACTCTGATACAGACCAGTATCACATCCCACCCTTCTCTGATACAGACCAGTATCACATCCCACCCTACTCTGATACAGACCAGTATCACATCCCACCCTACTCTGATACAGACCAGTATCACATCCCACCCTACTCTGATACAGACCAGTATCACATCCCACCCTACTCTGATACAGACCAGTATCACATCCCACCCTACTCTGATACAGACCAGTATCACATCCCACCCTACTCTGATACAGACCAGTATCACATCCCACCCTACTCAGATACAGACCAGTATCACATCCCAGCCTTCTCTGATACAGACACTATCACATCCCATCCTACTCTGATACAGACCAGTATCACATCCCACCCTACTCTGATACAGACCAGTATCACATCCCACCTTACTCTGATACAGACCAGTATCACATCCCACCCTTCTCTGATACAGACCAGTATCACATCCCACCCTACTCTGATACAGACCAGTATCACATTCCACCCTACTCTGATACAGACCAGTATCACATTCCACCTTACTCTGATACAGACCAGTATCACATCCCACCTTACTCTGATACAGACCAGTATCACATCCCACCCTACTCTGATACAGACCAGTATCACATCCCACCCTACTCTGATACAGACCAGTATCACATCCCACCCTTCTCTGATACAGACCAGTATCACATCCCACCCTACTCTGATACAGACCAGTATCACATCCCACCCTACTCTGATACAGACCAGTATCACATCCCACCCTACTCTGATACAGACCAGTATCACATCCCACCTTACTCTGATACAGACCAGTATCACATCCCACCTTACTCTGATACAGACCAGTATCACATCCCACCTTACTCTGATACAGACCAGTATCACATCCCACCCTACTCTGATACAGACCAGTATCACATCCCACCCTTCTCTGATACAGACCAGTATCATGTCCCACCCTACTCTGATACAGACCAGTATCACATCCCACCCTTCTCTGATACAGACCAGTATCACGTCCCACCCTACTCAGATCAGAATTACATCCAACTGTTCTCTAATATAGACCAGCTCTACATGCACTCTTTAGTGATACATAACCCATACTTTATATCTCACTTTGATACACTGACAAGCTTATTATTTGAAGATTATATGGTCTTACAGATTTGCCATTATCTTTAACTTTTGTATTATTAAACAGATAGAAAAATGCTGCCTTTTTATTTGGGACCAATTTATCTGAAATACTTTCAAATTATATTGCTGTTTAGGTTGAAGACAAAGGGAAACAACTCCTGCAAGCTTAGTGTATATTGAATCTATTTGCTTGTACTTCATACAATATGTGCATTTGTATAATAACATGTTAGAGTGCTTTTATTTATTATCTATTCCTTCATCTTCCATATCAATCTCTATTCCACCTAAGAAACATTTACTTTAAATCTGATAAGTAAATTTGTCGGTTGTATAGAAACCTGATCGCTGGGAAAACTTTTATTCAGACCAAACATTGGACATTGTGTAATACATTTAACATAGATGAGCCTTTTGTTGTGGAGAGATATTGGTGATTCAATTATGATTGTGGTAATTTGTTTGCAGCGGGACCACACACAGCAAGGCTATGTCAACAGGGATGCAGATCTCCTTGGTCCCACGGACCTGCTGTCCTTTGCCCGACAAATCTCCATAGGCATGGTACGCAGAAGCTTTTTTACATTTTCCATGTTGATTGTTTGGGTACTCTCCCTTTTATTTTGAAATTATTGACATCTTAAATAGCCAGATAGTTGTGATGTCTTTTACACTGCAAGCTTCTCCATGAGTCTTATTGCCTGGGAGACATCGTATTAGTTGTGAGTGAAGTCTTAACACATTAGCTCTTAATTCATTATTATAACTTAAATGTAGGAGCTTAATTTTTACCTTGATAAAGGGGAAAGTTAGCAAAGGCACTTCAAAAAGTAAAGTTACAAAACTTAGTAGAATAATTAATTGGCAGTCAATTATATTCCTGTGACCTGAAAGTATACTCTTTATTGTTCTTCACATAATACAACAGAAAAAAGATCCAACGTCCGATACAGGCAAATCAGTATAGATGGTAATTCCTTAGTTCATTCTCACTACTTCATTCTCTTCTTCACTAGTAAATTGAAAATTTCAAACACTTCTAAATCAGGAATCATATTAATTTTTTTTATGTAGACATATTATACTGGTTCAAATAGTTTTGCAGTTCAACAAAATAAGATGTGGTTCAGAAGAGTACAACAAGATACAAAGTCAGAAGCATGATAGCTGTATCTGGCAGGACATAGTACAGTCCCAAACCTGGGACTCCTGATCATATCTTTAGTCATACCATTTTGCCTCTATTAGACCTTGATGAATATTCAGGGGACACAATTATACAAAGGTTAAGAAATATTCAATTTTTATGAAATTTCTCTGTGATTTCTCAACCTTTTTTTGTATTCTCTCACCTTTAGATTCATCATTTTATTCCGGATTGTGACTTCCATAAACCTGTAATTAATTCAGTTAAACCAAATAGGGTATGTTAGTATTATGGAAAATATAATACAAAGATTGAATCTGAATGATCACATAATCAAACTGGTTACAAATGATTCCCTATATCTGACTGATTCCTTTCTGAGGATAATATTGTAAGTTTTACCTAATATCATTAGGTGTATATTTTAATGATGTTGATGACCAGGCCAAGTAGGAATATGTTTGAATGAGGTCACTAAGAAATACCCCTCATCAATAGGTATGTTACATTGCAACATTTCTTTAGTGGATTATAGTCAAGTAAGGTATACTACCAGGTATGCTAGAAACTCCTTACAGGATCTAGAGAATTGTTCACTGCCCACATCAGGATCTAGAGAATTGTTCACTGCCCACATCAGGATCTAGAGAATTGTTCACAGCCCACATCAGGATCTAGAGAATTGTTCACTGCCCACATCAGGATCTAGAGAATTGTTCACTGCCCACGTCAGGATCTAGAGAATTGTTCACTGCCCACATCAGGATCTAGAGAATTGTTCACTGCCCACGTCAGGATCTAGAGAATTGTTCACTGAGGAAGAAATGTTCACTGCCCACATCAGGATCTAGAGAATTGTTCACTGCCCACATCAGGATCTAGAGAATTGTTCACTGCCCACATCAGGATCTGGAGAATTGTTCACTGCCCACATCAGGATCTAGAGAAATGTTCACTGCCCACATCAGGATCTAGAGAATTGTTCACTGCCCACATAAGGATCTAGAGAATTGTTCACAGCCCACATCAGGATCTAGAGAATTGTTCACTGCCCACATCAGGATCTAGAGAATTGTTCACTGCCCACATCAGGATCTAGAGAATTGTTCACAGCCCACATAAGGATCTAGAGAATTGTTCACTGCCCACATCAGGATCTAGAGAATTGTTCACTGCCCACATCAGGATCTAGAGAATTGTTCACTGCCCACGTCAGGATCTAGAGAATTGTTCACTGCCCACATCAGGATCTAGAGAATTGTTCACTGCCCACATCAGGATCTAGAGAATTGTTCACAGCCCACATCAGGATCTAGAGAATTGTTCACTGCCCACATCAGGATCTAGAGAATTGTTCACTGCCCACGTCAGGATCTAGAGAATTGTTCACTGCCCACATCAGGATCTAGATAAATGTTCACTGCCCACATCAGGATCTAGAGAATTGTTCACTGCCCACATAAGGATCTAGAGAATTGTTCACTGCCCACATCAGGATCTAGAGAATTGTTCACTGCCCTCATCAGGATCTAGAGAATTGTTCACAGCCCACATCAGGATCTAGAGAATTGTTCACTGCCCACATCAGGATCTAGAGAATTGTTTACAGCCCACATAAGGATCTAGAGAATTGTTCACTGCCCACATCAGGATCTAGAGAATTGTTCACTGCCCACATCAGGATCTAGAGAATTGTTCACTGCCCACATCAGGATCTAGAGAATTGTTCACTGCCCACATCAGGATCTAGAGAATTGTTCACTGCCCACATAAGGATCTAGAGAAATGTTCACTGCCCACATCAGGATCTAGAGAATTGTTCACTGCCCACATCAGGATCTAGAGAATTGTTCACTGCCCACATCAGGATCTAGAGAATTGTTCACTGCCCACATCAGGATCTAGAGAATTGTTCACTGCCCACATCAGGATCTAGAGAAATGTTCACTGCCCACATCAGGATCTAGAGAATTGTTCACTGCCCACATCAGGATCTAGAGAATTGTTCACAGCCCACATCAGGATCTAGAGAATTGTTCACTGCCCACATCAGGATCTAGAGAATTGTTCACAGCCCACATCAGGATCTAGAGAATTGTTCACTGCTCACAGCCCACATCAGGATCTAGAGAATTGTTCACTGCCCACATAAGGATCTAGAGAATTGTTCACTGCCCACATCAGGATCTAGAGAATTGTTCACTGCCCTCATCAGGATCTAGAGAATTGTTCACAGCCCACATCAGGATCTAGAGAATTGTTCACTGCCCACATCAGGATCTAGAGAATTGTTCACAGCCCACATAAGGATCTAGAGAATTGTTCATTGCCCACATCAGGATCTAGAGAATTGTTCACTGCCCACCTCAGGATCTACAGAATAGTTCCACAGCTCACCAAGACCCAAAGGTCACAGCATCAAGCTATATATAGTGTGGCACAATTATCTGAGACCTAGAAGTCTGAATACTTAAGAATTTAATGTATGGCACATCTATGTAAGATCTAGAGGTCTGGACACCTCAGGGTGTATTGTGACATATATGTAACTAAGACCTCAAGATCTTGTGTGTAGCATATCTGTCTTAGATTAAAAGGTCTGGATACCTCAGGGTGTAGTGTGTAGAACATCAATTTTTGATCTAGAAGCCATTGCACCTCTAGATCAAGTGTGTGGCACATCTATCTTAGATCTAGAGTCCAAAGTACCTCTAGATCTAGTGTGTGGCACATCTGTCTTAGATAAAGAGTCCAGAGCACCTCAACATCTAGTGTGTGGCACATCTATCTTAGACCTAGAGTCCAGAACACCTCTAGATCTAGTGTGTGGCACATCTATCTTAGATCTAATGTCCAGAGCACCTCTACATCTAGTGTGGCACATCTATCTTAGGTCTAGTGTCCAGAGCACCTCTAGACCTAGTGTGTGGCACATCTATCTTAGATCTAGAAGCCATTGCACCTCTAGATCTAGTGTGTGGCACATCTATCTTAGATCTAGAGTCCAGAGCACCTCTAGATCTAGTGTGGCACATCTATCTTAGATCTAGAGTCCAGAACACCTCTACATCTAGTGTGGCACATCTATCTTAGGTCTAGTGTCCAGAGCACCTCTAGACCTAGTGTGTGGCACATCTATCTTAGATCTAGAGTCCAGAGCACCTCTACATCTAGTGTGGCACATCTGTCTTAGATCTAGAGTCCAGAGCACCTATAGATCTAGTGTGTGGCACATCTATCTTAGATCTAGAGTCCAGAGCACCTCTAGATCTAGTGTGGCACATCTATCTTAGATCTAGAGTCCAGAGCACCTCTACATCTAGTGTGGCACATCTATCTTAGATCTCGAGTCCAGAGCACCTATAGATCTAGTGTGTGGCACATCTATCTTAGATCTAGAGTCCAGAGCACCTCTACATCTAGTGTGGCACGTCTATCTTAGATGTAGAGTCCAGAGCACCTATAGATCTAGTGTGTGGCACATCTATCTTAGATCTAGAGCCCAGAGCACCTATAGATCTAGTGTGTGGCACATTTATCTTAGATCTAGAGTCCAGAGCACCTCTAGATCTAGTGTGGCACATCTTAGATTTGTTGGCCTTGATACCGCATGATCTAGTGGACACTTTCATTTTAGAACTAGAGGTCTGGTAACCTAAGGATATAGTTTGGCACATCTATCTTAGATCTAGAGGCATAGACACCCCAGTATCTTGTGAGGTACATCTATCTTAGAACTTAAGGTCCAGACATTTCCGGATCTAGTGTGTAGAATAACCATCTTAGAACTGGAGGCCAGGATACCACATGATCTATTTTGTGGCAAATCTATCTCAGATTTAAAGGCCTGTCTATCTTGTGATCTTGATATGGGATACTAATCACTTTAAGATTTAGGGATATGTCCTACTCCCAATATCTAGAGAATGTTTGACACTATCCATTTTAGATCTAGTGAACTGGGCATTGCCCATCAAAAGATGTACAGAACTGGACATATCCTACCTCAAGATGTAGAGTACACTTTGATAGCTAGCAGGGCATAGTCATATTTTGCTTATCATAATGAAAAATAAATGGCCTTTTGATTGCTCTCTCCTGCAGACATTTGGCATTTAGTTCTTTATCCATTAAAACATTGAGCTAGTTATGTACTTAAATGCTATATGGCCTATTGACAGAAGGTTGTGTGTAGAGCAGGATGGGCCAGCCCTGTGGCACAGCATGATTAATGGCTACTATCTCTGGCCAGATCACTGTTGACCCACCCAGATGCGGGTGGGATCAAAACCAGATAATATGCCCAACATTCAGACATGTCTGATGATGAAAAAACTCTAATTTTATCTTTTGATTACAGGCAAAATATGTTTTAAAAAACTGACAGTCGCAAAAAGCTACCATAAATCAGAAAAGG